GGGAAATAAAAATACTTTTATTAAAAGATATTTTATCTCACATAAACTTTTGTTAGATATTTTCGACAAAGCAAGCGATGATAGAAAGAATCAATAAGCAAATACAATAATGTATAAAACATAATGAAGTTATACCTTTTAGCATGTATATCGATTTTCAGACAATAACTCTGAAAAATATTTGATACACAGTTACCTTTATTAAAGACACACGAGATAACCAAGTGTGAACAAAATTTACTCTGTTTCCTTAAAAAAAAAAAAAGAAAAAAAGACTACAGGCGACATCAAACACTTTCCACTTTCTTATGTTTTGTCCATGAATGTGTATAATCAACTATATACAGTCTTGGTGATGATACATAACTATTATTGCATATTGACATATAGTCATATAGACATATGTCATATAGACATTGTTTCATTATTTTAACGACATTCTCATATTTCTGCTGAACTGCAGATCTGGTAGTACGCACCACAGTACTGGTAATAACTATGTCATAATCAACCAATAGACGGCACAATCATCTCTCTACATAATCAAGGTGTGCTAAGATTCAATTAAACGTCCTAATTCCTTTAATTATATACCTTCTCCAATTACTACAATCGTATTATCATCTTATCATCTATTCGATATCAAATTTAAATTACATACCTACATATAACACCCAATATCGTATTATTCTCTTTATAAACAGGATCTCCGAAAATATACTTTGCATTGCAATATGCGATAACTTGTATTCGATTTTTCCATGAATTAACTTTAGTTTGATAAATCATCCTTCATCAAATGTTTTATTGAGGTTTATTAGAAAACAGGATTTGAGAATATCGCCAACCTATCTCCGCGCTCTATCTTTATAAGACATCAGAACGTCATATACAAGGTATATTTCATAAGTTCCCGGATTGGGTCCATAAAAAAATAAATAAATGAAAAATGTAAATATATTTGACTGTTTATTATAGATAAAATATCTGGCAACACGGTAGTACCAATATCGAGGCGATACGTGCGCGCGCCAAGGTCATTCTAATTTATTTAAAAGTTACACCTAGCGCTGCGGCGATTTTACGATGGAACAAAAATTGAAGCAGAGGATTTGCATAGAATTTTGAGTGAAACTTCAAATATCAGCAACCGAAACTTTTGAATTGCTTAATAAAGCATTCCCCATTGACGCCCCAAAGAGAACAACTGTTTTTGAAAGGCATTCTAGATTTAAAGGTAGCAGAATTCCCATTGAAGATGATCCTCGTCAAGGACACCCAAAATTTCGAAAGACTGATGAAAATGTGCAAAAAAACACCGATTTAATAAAATAAAATCCTCGAACCACTTTGCTGGAGCTAGAGCAAGACACAGGCATCTCTAAAACAACGATTGGAAGGATCGTAACCGAAGAATTGAAGCTCAAAAAGACTCCTACAAAATTAATCTCAAGATTCCTCAATATTGAGCAAAATCTGTGTCGGCTTGCAACCTATGAGGACATGTTGGAAATGACAAGAACGGATCCGGAATGGAAAGACAAGATAATCACAGGCGACGAAGCATGGGTCTATGGCTATGACCCTGAAACAAAGCGTTAATCTGCCGAGCGGAGAGGTCAGGGTGAGCCTAGACCCAAAAAATACAGGATATTGAAATCCAGAAACAAGGAGTTGCTGGTCGCCTTTTTGGATAACAAGGGCATTGTTCATCACGAGTATCTTCCTGCAGGCCAAACAGTTATTAAGGAAATGTATTTGGGCATTCTTAGCCGTCTAAGGGAAGCGATACGAAAAAAAAGGCCAGAAAATTGGACTAATGGTGACTGGATCCTACACCATGACAATGCCCGCCCTCACACAGTGCACTTGGTGACGAGTTTTTCGGCGAAAACGGGACACAAATCCTACCTCAACCACCCTATTCCCAAAACATCGCACCAAATGACTTTTTCCTGTTCCCCAAATTTAAAGTAGTTCTAAAAGGAAGACAATTTGACACCAGGTATGACATAATAGAAAAATCGCTGTTGGCATTAAAGAGCATTCCAAAAGAGCCCTATAAAAACTGTTTCGACAATTGGGAGAAACGATGGCGCTGGTGCGTTGAAGCAAGGGGATTACTTTGAAAATTTTAATATATATATATTTTTTTAATATCTTACCATTTTTTTATGGACCCAGTCCAGTAACATATGGGATATATCTTGTATATATACCCATTTCTTTTTTCTCAGGAAGCATCTTGGGCTAAATATTTGGTCGTTGAGGTACAGCTTGTACCACGTTGACAAGGGCCAACAGCCCAAAACGCGTAGATAGTTCATTTTCTTGATTTAACAAGAAAATGGGTTGGCCAAATATCGAAAAACCTTAAATCAACGTCTATTTGATTTTTGTTTCACTAGAGAGATGGCGCTCTGCCATCTATAATGTTAATGTGAACGGTCTGGATATGTCTCTTAAAAAAAAAAAAACAATTCCTACGATCGTCTTATTGTTTTTAAAAATATTTATATAATTATTGACCCCTCAAATCTTAGTCTCTCCTTGAGTACATTCACCAAATTATTTCTCAAGTGCCGGTGACTATATAAGCTGAACAGCCCCGAACAATATTAGAGCGTTCTATGGATTAAAGTAGGAAACCACAGAGAGAGAACGTCACCCTGAGATTCCAATATATTCCATCACGGCAAGAACAGCAATAAAACCTATTATACATCGTAAAGATAGAGGCTGCCTGGCCGGCATTCATAGTTCCTCAAATAAAAGACACTTCGCCCAGTAAATCTTTTTATTGTCTCGACGTTTCGACAAAAAACTTATTCTAGAATAATTTCTAACGCTTTGCCTAATGTTCTAATTTTTGTTCGCTCCTGAAGAGGACAAAATATTTTTGTCGAAACGTCGAGACAATGAATGATTTACTGGCCGAAGTGTCTTTTATTTGAAAAACCTATTATACAGTCCGTGTCCTAGACTCTCTACCAGCGTGGAGATTCCTTGTCAACAGCTTCAGCTCTACCGTAGACGCAGGCCGTGACTATAACTTTCTACTACTCTTTAAAGCCCCTCACCAACTTCCTTGGTAAGAAATGCTTTAAAAACCAAGGTGATGTCAAAACGGCCTTCAATGAATTCATTGCCTCCAGAACTCCAGATATTTATAAAACTGGAATATACCAGCTCTCGTTGGCAAAGATGTATCGATGGGTTTTATTTTGATTAATAAAGGTTTGCATGTAACGAGTTATTGCTTTTAAAGTTGTCACTACAAATCGGCCATTATTTTTGCATCAACCCAATAGATAGACATTTGGACAGCCAGGTTAGTTGAACGTTCCAAGAACCCGGGGTATGTCTAATTTTTCTCTCTCCTGTTACAGACCTTTTTTTTTTGCTTGGACGTACCCTTTGCTCAAATTATAGAGGTTAACTTAGTGCTAAACGCAAACGCATCTGGATGGTTGAACGATATCAATTCAAAATGTTTAGTAAAATTCTTCCTTTTGAACGCTTTTCTAATTAAATACAAAATCTCGTAATGACATATACAACACTAATATCTGATTAATATCACTAGATGTATCTGTTCAAGGATGTAATGAAGACTACAGTAACGTGTGTAGGACTCGCACAAAATACATTAAAGAATTAAACTCTTCAACTCACACGAATATACTAGGTAGTTATGTAATTATTCATTCAAGCTCTTGGTTTTACATGCCAAAAGTTGTTCCTTTTGAAGACAGATACCCCTCCAATAAATCTGAAACGCGGTAAATTCGCAACTCGTTATATCTGCAACCCTGTAAATCTGCAGTTCATTAAATCTGCAACTCGGTAAATCCGTAAATTGATAAATCCGCATGTTTTTAAATATGCAATCAAATAAATCCAGAGTTCGTTAAATCTATACACCGGTATATCCGCAGCTCGTTAAATAGGCAATCCATTGAATACGTAACTCAAAAAATCTGCAGCTCGTTAAATAGGCAATCCATTCAATACGTAACCAGATAATTCTGTAGCTCGTTAAATAGGCAATCCGTTGAATACGTAACCCGATAAATCTGTGGCTCGTTAAATAGGCAATCCATTGAATACGTAACACGATAAATCCGCAGCTCGTTAAATCCGCAACCTGATAAATCCGCAACCAGGTAAATCTGCAACCTAATAAATCCGTAACCCGGTAATTCCGCAACCTGATAAATCCGCAGCTCGGTAAATCTGCAACCCGGTAATTCCGCAGCTCGTTAAATCCGCAACCCGGTAACTCCGCAACCTGATAAATCCGCAGCTCGTTAAATCCTCAACCTGATAAATCCGTAACCCGGTAATTCCGCAACCTGATAAATCCACTGCTCGTTAAATCCTCAACCCGGTAATTTCGCCACCTCGATAAATACCCAGTGCAGTAAATCGTAAGTTGACGGTACCTCATTTCTATCTTAAATTCCAATACAAGGATAACAATGATCATTCCTTTGACCTCATTCGTATCGTATTTTAGACGCCAACGTAGCTGCCCACTTTACATTTTATATCAAAATTGATCACGAAGTTTCCATCTATTGTGTAAACACATCAAAACAAAAGCAATCTAGCTAGCCTCGAGGTAGCTGTGTATTTAATGGATTAGATGGTTTTCGTTCTGCTAGAAGAGAAATAAGATCCCCGTGGGCTGGCTCCGAGGGGCAGAACCGCCACTATAAACAACGTGCCGGGGTCGATGCCTCAAGGGATGTGTGCTGAATAAAAGGAAATACAACAAATAAAAGAACTCACACGCAAATAAAATTAAAACATGGAATAAATATAAGCTGTTAATAACAGATTCAAAACATTTTTTTAAAACAATCTTCAAAGAATATAAGTTCAACATAGAAGATGCTATAAAAACATAATATGTACAAATTATTTTTTGAAAGAATGGTTAAAAACTAAATTATTATACAAAGATTTCTTCTTTTGGTCCTTCGGATCCGGGCAAAAGGTCACGCAGAGAATCGAACCCGGGCCTTCTGGGTGAAATCCAGATATCCTAGCCCCTAGACCACTTTGATCATAGCCAAAGTATATGTTTGAAATGATAAAAATAATATCGTTCTTGAGTTTTTTGAAATTTCAACAAATTTATAAAACACTATTTCTAAAAATTACTTACAACTAGTTTTTTTACTGATCTTATATTAAGAAAAAATAGTACAAATGTGATATTGTACTGAAATAAGGTGGACAAATAAAGAAAAAAACATCTCCTATTTATCATATCAGAGTAAGTATTGTAGAACCTGTTTATAATTGTTAAAATGAATGGCGTAAAACTTGTTCCTTCATATTTTCAATAAATGTTTTGAAAGGTTTTGAATGCTATATGGATATTGTTCAAACCTTGAAAGAATATTGTAAATGACTTCCAGATAGTTATACACGCCGAAATAGTTAGCTGGAAGTTATACTTATAGTTCTTCTGTTGAAGGCCATGTTGGCCCTTGAAAGCTAGAGAAATAAAATAGTAATAAAAACCTAGTCCTGAGTTGCTAATTGATTTCAATAAATTGTAAAGGCAGGTATGAATACATGTTTTATATTATATTTATATCTTAGACACCTTTCAGCGACTCTTCACCGCAACTATGTTTCTTTTTACTTATCTCCAAGTATTTACGTGTTATAGACTACGATAATCATGTTGAGGTAGTTAGTGTACTACTCCAGAGCAGCAGCTTTACACACCCAAGATAGTGGACATTGCTGCTGTTGTGATAGAGATGTATGGAGACATCTGAGGCTTTTTATTGGACACAACAACAGCAACTAATAAACAAAGACCCAGAACAGCAGTTTTACACACCCAAGATAGTGGACATTGCTGCTGTTGTGATAGAGATGTATGCAGACTTCTGAGGCTCTTCATTGGACACAACAACAGCAACTAATAAACAAAGACCTAGAGCAGCAGCTTTACACACCCAAGATAGTGGACATTGCTGCTGTTGTGATAGAGATGTATGCAGACTTCTGAGGCTCTTCATTGGACACGACAACAACAACTAATAAACAAAGACCTAGAACAGCAGCTTTACACACCCAAGATAGTGGACATTGCTGCTGTTGTGATAGAGATGTATGCAGACTTCTGAGGCTCTTCATTGGACACGACAACAACAACTAATAAACAAAGACCTAGAACAGCAGCTTTACACACCCAAGATAGTGGACATTGCTGCTGTTGTGATAGAGATGTATGCAGACTTCTGAGGCTCTTCATTGGACACGACAACAACAACTAATAAACAAAGACCCAGAACAGCAACTTTACACACCCAAGATAGTGGACATTGCTGCTGTTGTGATAGAGATGTATGCAGACTTCTGAGGCTCTTCATTGGACACGACAACAACAACTAATAAACAAAGACCTAGAACAGCAGCTTTACACACCCAAGATAGTGGATATTGCTGCTGTTGTGATAGAGATGTATGCAGACTTCTGAGGCTCTTCATTGGACACGACAACAACAACTAATAAACAAAGACCCAGAACAGCAGCTTTACACACCCAAGATAGTGGACATTGCTGCTGTTGTGATAGAGATGTATGGCGACATCTGAGGCTCTACATTGGACACGACAACAACAACTAATAAACAAAGACCCAGAACAGCAGCTTTACACACCCAAGATAGAGGACATAGTGACTGCTGTGATAGAGATGTATGGCGACATCTGAGGCTCTTCATTGGACACGACAACAACAACTAATAAGCAAAGACCCAGAACAGCAGCTTTACACACCCAAGATAGTGGACATTGCTGCTGTTGTGATAGAGATGTATGCAGACTTCTGAGGCTCTTCATTGGAAACGACAACAACAACTAATAAACAAAGACCCAGAACAGCAGCTTTACACACCCAAGATAGTGGACATTGCTGCTGTTGTGATAGAGATGTATGCAGACTTCTGAGGCTCTTCATTGGAAACGACAACAACAACTAATAAACAAAGACCCAGAACAGCAGCTTTACACACCCAAGATAGTGGACATTGCTGCTGTTGTGATAGAGATGTATGCAGACTTCTGAGGCTCTTCATTGGACACGACAACAACAACTAATAAACAAAGACCCAGAACAGAAGCTTTACACACCCAAGATAGTGGACATTGCTGCTGTTGTGATAGAGATGTATGCAGACTTCTGAGGCTCTTCATTGGAAACGACAACAACAACTAATAAACAAAGACCCAGAACAGCAGCTTTACACACCCAAGATAGTGGACATTGCTGCTGTTGTGATAGAGATGTATGCAGACTTCTGAGGCTCTTCATTGGACACAACAACAGCAACTAAGAAACAAGGACCCAGAGCAGCAGCTTTACACACCCAAGATAGTGGACATTGCTGCTATTGTGATAGAGATGTATGGAGACATCTGAGTCTCTTCATTGGACACGACAACCACAACTAATAAATAAAGACCTAGAACAGCAGCTTCACACACCCAAGATAGAGGACATTGTTGCTGCTGTGATAGAGATGTATGGCGACATCTGAGTCTATTCATTGGACACGACAACCACAACTAATAAAAAAAGACCTAGAACAGCAGCTTTACACCCCCAAGATAGTGGACATTGCTGCTGTTGTGATAGAGATGTATGCAGACTTCTGAGGCTCTTCATTGGACACGACAACAACAACTAATAAACAAAGACCCAGAACAGCAACTTTACACACCCAAGATAGTGGACATTGCTGCTGTTGTGATAGAGATGTATGGCGACATCTGAGTCTCTTCATTGGACACGACAACCACAACTAATAAACAAAGACCTAGAGCAGCAGCTTTACACACGCAAGATAGTGGACATTGCTGCTGTTGTGATAGAGATGTATGCAGACTTCTGAGGCTCTTCATTGGACACGACAACAACAACTAATAAACAAAGACCTAGAACAGCATCTTTAAACACCCAAGATAGTGGACATTGCTGCTGTTGTGATAGAGATGTATGCAGACTTCTGAGGCTTTTCATTGGACACGACAACAACAACTAATAAACAAAGACCCAGAACAGCAGCTTTACACACCCAAGATAGTGGACATTGCTGCTGTTGTGATAGAGATGTATGCAGACTTCTGAGGCTCTTCATTGGACACGACAACAACAACTAATAAACAAAGACCCAGAACAGCAGCTTTACACACCCAAGATAGTGGACATTGCTGCTGTTGTGATAGAGATGTATGCAGACTTCTGAGGCTCTTCATTGGACACGACAACAACAACTAATAAACAAATACCTAGAACAGCAGCTTTACACACCCAAGATAGTGGACATTGCTGCTGTTGTGATAGAGATGTATGGAGACTTCTGAGGCTCTTCATTGGACACGACAACAACAACTAATAAACAAAGACCTAGAACAGCAGCTTTACACACCCAAGATAGAGGACATTGCTGCTGTTGTGATAGAGATGCATGGAGACATCTGAGGCACTTCATTGGACACGACAACAACAACTAATAAACAAAGGCCTAGAACAGCAGCTTTACACACCCAAGATAGTGGACATTGCTGCTGTTGTGATAGAGATGTATGGAGACATCTGAGGCTCTTCATTGGACACGACAACAACAACAACGACAACAGTGTACTACTGTAGTTACTGTAAGAGCACCACATGTTTACACGTGTAGTAGTCACACAGTTTGGCCTTTGCAATTAAAAATGTTCCAGAGCCTCGTTTGGATAATTGTACATACTTATTGGGTTGGACATTAGCAAATATTGGAGGCCATTAGTGCGAATATTTCTTCAGAAAAAAAGTGTCAAATGCGGGATTCAATCCATGGTAGTGGCTGTCGAAATATCGATAGTTCAGACGACTCCTCCATCAATCCGCCTGCACTTATGTGAGTTACTCAAGTGTTTCCAATACACATCAATAGAAGCGTTGGTGATACAGGAGAAGACATAGGAACCGACAGTGTAGGTGGGCTTCTAGAGTGATATTGTGACGTCTTTATTCAATAGACTAAAAACAATAAACTAAATGAAATAGTCAATTGAAAAAATAAATGAAAATTCTTAATTCACCTTATTATATCGTTTCATAGTATTTTCCTTTAAACTGGATAAACCGCAGGGAGCACATTGAAGAAACATGCTCTCATAAATATTTTATAATTTCAATATAGGAGAAGGAGACAATATATTAATACTGTTAAGTCGCTAGGTAGAGGGTAGCCAGGATGAGGTGTTGCTTAGAACAGGCCACGAACTTAAGGAATACAGTTTATTTTAATATCACAATTGATACATCCTATTGACTGACTACCACGAATGGTACCGCTATTCATATACAATATCTAAGACAACAATTTAGTATGCCAAGAGGATATTTGCATTTTTACAAATATTCAAAACATGTAAATACACTAAAAACACAAATATATTGATATATTGTTAATACAAAGTGAAAATGCACCGTCCGCATTATTTAGGTAATAAAAAATTATGTTCCGAAGATCATTTTTGTTGGTTGGAAGTTGATTCAGAAAAGAGATAGCCCCATCAACCAATGACTTATTTAACTCCTGACATTTCAGTGACGTGCTTTTACTCACATCAGGGGAAGCGTAGTTATGGATTCAAAATAATCATTTCCATGAGTAGAGCGTCAGCAAGTCATTGAAGAGTCGGGGGTTAAATAAATCATTGGTTAATGTGGCTTTGTGTTTTTATCTGAAAATTTAGTGTCCTACAATGATGATGATAATAATAATGATGATTACTCTTCACAATTCATCCTTTCATACTTCATCTCTAAGGTTAAAAATAATCGTTATTTCTCCTTAAAATAAATTTCGATTTTTCGTTCAAAAGAAACACATACGGGAAATTTTCAAATATCGTTCTACAATCATAAGCCGCGTTATATTGTATTAAAAACTACTACCTTTAAGCATATTATCAACCAACAAGTTTTTCAAATTCTGAGGTAAAGATATAGAAAGCAACAAACTTACAGTAAATTATTATTTCAATCAGATTTTAAA